ATGTCAGAGAGGAAGAACTTAACTCTTGCTTCTGGCTTCTCTGGCAGTGTTTTTCCAACCAGAAATAATAGGACGTTGGGAGTTAAAAGTTGGGAGGTAAAGTTAAAGATAGGTAGATTGGAGATCACTTAGCTACTTTAAGAAAAAAATCCCCCCAATTACATGTAAAAACAATTTTTAACATTCTTTTTATTGAAGTTTTGAGTTTTAAATTCTCTCCCTCCCTCCCTTTCTTCCCTCCCTCCTCCCTGAAATGGTAAGCAATCTGGTATAGGCTATGTATGTGTAGTCATGTAAAACATTTCCATATTAGTCATTTTGTGCAAGAAAACTCAAATAAAAAAAGAAAGAAAGTGAAAAATAGCATGCTTTGATCTGTATTCAGACAACATCAGTTCTTTTTCTAGAGGTGGATAACGTTTTTCATCATGAGTCCTTTGGGATTGTCTTGGATCATTGTGTTGCTAAGAATAGCTAAGTCATTCACAGTTCTTCATCATATAATATTGCTGTTAGTGTGTACAATTATTCTTCTGATTCTGCTCACTTCTGTTTGTATCAGTTCTTGTAAGTCTTTCCAGTTTTTTTCTGAAACCATCCTGCTTGTCATTTCTTATGGCATATTAATATTCCCTTACAGTCATATACCACAACTTATTCAGCTATTCTCCAGTTGATGGGCATTCCCTCAGTTTCTAGTTCTTAGCCACCACAAAAGACTGCTGTAGATATTTTTTGTACAAATAGGTTCTTTTTCCTTTTTTAATCTTTTTGGGACACAGACCTAGTAGTTGTGTTGCTAGATCAAAGGGGTTGCACAGCTTTATAGCTCTTTGGGCATAGTTCCAAATTGCTGTCCAGAATGGTGGGATCAGTTCACAGCTCCACTTAGCTACTTTAAATGAATTCAAGAGTGTTTGCCCAGTAGGATTACAGCCCAGGACACTGAAAAAAAAGACTGTGGAGATGTGATAGCTATACTACTGCTGTCAGTAGTAATCCCTGAGGAGTTGTGGAAACTGGGAGAAGTGTCCATGAACTGAAGGTGGTCAAATATGAGCCTCGTTTTCAAAGAGATCAAGTTAAAAAACGACATACCAGTGAGTTTGGCATCGTTGTCTTGACAGACAGCATTGTAGCATCACATTGTTTGCAAACACTTTGAGGGATGTAGGGAGCCCACAGTCATAGCAGTTCTGTAGCACCTCCTCATGTGTCCCTGCCTGCTGGACGTCGTTTATCAACTACCTAAATGAAGAAGACAGGGCAGAGAGGGAGAACAGATGTGCTAGATGACAAAATCAGAATCCAGAAAGATTCTGAAAGTCTAGAGTTAAAAGCCCAGACTCACAAGCTCAGATTTATTAGGGATAAATGTCAAGTGCTACGTTTTGATTTTTTAAAAAACCTTTTTTATTAATTTATTTTGATTTATCAATAATAACTTCCATAAGCTTTTGAGTTTTAAATTTTTCTTCCCCTCCCTCCTTACCTCTCTCCCCAAGACGGTACATAATCTGATATAGGCTTTACATATGCATTCCTATTAAACATATTTTCACATTAGTTATGTTGTAAGGATGAATTAGAACCAATAGGAAGAATCACAAGAAAGAGGAAACAGAAAAAACAGAAGAATAAAAAATAGCAAATTAGTTAGTATCCTTTGATCTGCATTCAAACCCCATAGTTCTTTCTTTGGGTGTGAATAGCATTTTCCATCATAAGACCTTTAGAGATGTCTTAGATCCTTGCATTGCTGAGAAAGGCTAAGTCTGTCAAAGTTAGTCATTGCACAACATGGCTGTTAGTGTGTACAACGTTCTCCTGGTTCTGCTCACTTCACTCAGCATGAGTCCATACAAGTCTTTCCAGGTTTATCTGAAGTCCTCCTGCTCCTCATTTCTTATAGCACAATAGTATTCCATTACATTCATATACCACAACTTGTTCAGCCATTTCCCAATTGATGGGCATCCCCTCAATTTCCAGTTCTTTGCCACCACAAAAAGAGCGGCTATAAATATTTTTGTGTATGTGGGTCCTACATTTTGATTTAAAAAAAAAAAATCACTTGCACAAGCATGTAGAATCAGTCAGTGAACAGACACTTACCTAGTGCTGTGCCGAGCACTGGGGGTGCAAAACAGTCCCTACCTTCACAGAGCTTTCATTCTAATTCTAATGAAATTGAACAATTCTAAAGTCAAATAAAAGATACATCTCAAACGTATCTGGAGGAGAAGGAAGCCGCCTGTGGCTTGGGGAAGGATTGAGAGGAGCCTGTTGCAGAAGGGGGCGTTTGAGCTGAGTCCTGAAGGACAGCAAGAAAACGAAGAGAGACTCAGGTCAGACCGGAGCGAATTCCAGGCATGGGAGCTGAATGACCAGCACGATGTCATCAGGCAGGAGCAGCAGATAGTAGCTCAGTAGCAGGTTGGGATTGTGGGATCACAGAGAGGATGGAGGGAGGAAAGTGTAAGGAAACTGAGGCACTAGGAAGCGGCCACACCAAACAGAGGATTTATGTTGGATCTTAAAGGTAATAGGGAGCCACTGCTGTTACTGTTGAGTGTGTAGAGGGTGGATAAGGTAGAAGATAAGATCAGCACGCCTCCACTTGAGGAAAATCATTTTGGCAGCTGAGTGGAGGATGGTTTAGAGTAAGGAGGACTAGAGGTGGTTGTTGAGTCATTTCAGTCGTGGCCAACTCTTTGTTGGGTCACAGCCAGCTCATTTGGGGTTTTCTTGGCAGAGATACTGGAGTGGTTTGCCAGTTCCTTCTCCAGCTCATTTTACAGATGAGAAAACCAAGGCAAACAGGGTGAAAGGATTTGCCCAGGGTCACACAGCTAATAAGTCTGTAAGGCTGAGTTTGGACTCAGGTCTTCTTGACTCCAGGCCTGGAGCTCTCTATCTGTTGCGTCACCTAGCTGCCCCTAAAAAGCTTTTGCAGTTAGATACTTTCAGAGTATCCTAGTGTGTTCTGCATCCCGTGAATGGTATTGTAGAAGAAAGCAATGGTCTGTGGAGTTTTCAGTGTTGTATCTTAATTGAGAAATGCTTCTAAGCACAATAAAATGTCCATCTCTCTACAAGAGAGCTACTAGATCAGGCCTGACTAGATTATGATGCCAAGCACACACCCCTTGGGAAAGGGGTTACACAGTCTATGAAGCTGTGATTGTCTTCCCCCGTTTAAAAAAAAAAGTTCACTTCTCTTTAATAAATTGGTAATACCAAGAACATTGAAAAATGCTCTTTATTATCTAGTTCAGGGGAAAGGTGATAAAGGCCTGATTAGGGTAGAAGTTGAATGAGAGAGGGAGAGCTGGATATCTGTGAGAGCTGTGGAAACAGAAACAATGAGATTTGGCCACTGATGGATGGATTCGGGGAATAAGAAATTGAGGAGTCTTGAGGGCCTGGGAGAATTGATACTAGTAATAAGGAAGTTTGGAAGAAGGGAGGGTTGGGGGAAAGAATAATTAGTTCTTTTAAAACATTTTGAGTTTGAGATGCCTGTAAGACATTGCATGTTTGGACAGAATGTCCAAAAAGCTGTTGGTGATATGGTATTGTAGTTTAGAAGAGAAGTTAGGCTTGAATGTATATATAATAGTGTAACCTACCTCACGGGGTTGAGTTGTTATGGAGAATTCATTTCGTAAACATCAAAGCACAGTAACAAATTTGAGTTCTTTCTGTTATTACTATTACAAGTTCAGACAAACATCTCATGCTTAATTAATCATCACTTCCCCCCACACAACCCCTACCCTACATTTCTGTATATGCTGGCTCCAAATGAGTTTCCAGAAATTTTGATAGGCTCACAAGTCTGCTAAGGGTGAAGAGATGTTAATTGAGACCAAACCACCAGGGTCCCAACTAAAATTTATCATCTAGACATATTCTTTTTTTTCACGCCAGTATCAAGACCAAAGTGTTTTAAACTGAAGCATATATATAATTTTGGTTAGCTTTAAGAAAAATCTTCTAATTTACATCAACTAATACAGAATATTAGCTCAGAGCACAGTGCATAGAATGCCAGGCCTCAAGTCAGAAAGACCTCAGTTCAAATCTGGCCTCAGACACTTACTAGCTGTGTGACCCTGAGCAGGTCACTTAACTCTGTTTGCCTTATTTTCCTCCCCTCTGAAATGAGCTCGAGAAGGAAATGGCATACCACTCCACTATCCTTGCCAAGAAAACTCAAAATTGGGTCACATAGAGTTGGACACAATTGAAAAGAATGAATAACAACGAAATAAGGAGAACAGTGTACAAATATAAAGGGATTTAAGATTTTCTGCGATTTGTCTGCCTTTTGTAGCTTATTTCATATTTTTCCTCTTATGACTGGTTTTGCCATCTTTGCCCTCCTGGATTTGCCCTCCTAGATCTTCCCACAGGTTTGGAATGCTCTTCTTTCTCATCCTTGCCTGTTGAATTCTCACTCTTCCTTATAGGTGCCACCTTGTCTGTGTCATCCCTGATTTCCATAGCCTCCCGCCACCATCCCCCCCTACCCTACCCTACCCTGTTAACATGTTCTCTCTCCTGTCACTCTCTCCCTTTTACCTATTTGCTTACATTTTCTGAACCTCCTTAGGGATACAGATGTTTTTCATCTTTGCAAACAGGACCTTGAACATTACTAGGCACTTAGTAACTGCTTGTTGAATTTAGGGTTAATAAGGAGAAATAAAGGGAAGCAGAGATTCTCTTGAGTATCTGAAAAACAAGATGGAGAAAGACTTGAACAGAGAAGACTCCTGTTCCCTCCCAACCTACTATTATGAGGACCCCATTTTAGAATTCCTCTTCTCCCCCCTCCATCTTTTTTTTTTTTTTTTTACTAATTACAGATACACAGTAGTGTGTGTGTGTGTGTGTGTGTGTGTGTGTGTGTGTGTGTGTGTGTGTAGGCCTCAGGTCAGTATCTCCTCCTTCTCTCAAGCTTCTGTTTAATGATTCTCGTTCTCTCCTTGCAGGTATAGCTTTTACTGACCTCCCGGTAAGTAGCCACCTTTCTTTGTTTTCTGATAAATGGTATGGGAGGAGAGGGGATCCATACCTACAAGTAGAAACGGCCAGTGATTTGAGGTCGAAATGCTGTCTATTCACCCAGCCTCTTATGTTGCTCTGCCATGGGGCAGATCTCTATCACACTGTGAAACATAGAGTTATCTCCATCAAACACAGGGGTTCTGAAACATTGGCTGTTCCAACACACATCTCCTTTGTTTTTACTAAGCCTCATGGAGTGCAGGGCCATTTATAAAGGTGAGCAAGGGCTGGTCCGGAGGGGTATGTAGCTGCTTGCCACTATATAGTGCTAAATTCCCTGTGTTTTGCTGTCTATCAGACTGGTTTAGAGTAAGGTGTAGCTTGTCCAGAAGAGGGAAAAAAGTCCTGAATATTACCTCTCCTTTAACTCTCCCCCACCTCCCAAGATATTCCACCATTTGGCAATTTCTTCAGTAACTGCTTTTCAATACCTTGGTAGGAAAGTTCAGCCTGAAGTCTGTTAGTTATTTATACCTTCATGTCAGTGGATTTATCACAGCGTGTAGCCAAGGACAGCCTCAGTGAAAGAGCCAGTGGATGCCTGCATTTCAGAAAGAAAGGTTGGAGATCACAAGTATCTGGAAGGGCTTGAGTTGTGCTGTACCAAGCCTGGCATAGGAGGCACACTCTGGCCTTCCACGTTCATTATTCTAACTTCTGTTTAAGGAAACAGGGCCTTCTCTGGTAGTAGGTCAGGGGGATAGACAGTCTCAGGTATATTAGGGTGTTGACAGAAGCACTGGCCTTTCTCTCCTTTTTTGAGGGGGTGAGAGGTGTCTATGTTCTGCCTCACCTTCCAGGTACTATCCCTGCAAAAAATGGTCATTACCAATCAAAATTTTTTTCCATAACAGCTCCTAGCCAACTCTGAGTTTGTTGGAATATAGAAAGAGGTATTGGGAGAAAGTAATCACTAGCAGAAGTCATATGTGCCAATTTGTACCCACTATTTCTTTATTGTTATCTTCTGTATTCCTGCTTTCCCCCGCAAGCAAGATCATCCAGACCTCTTTCCCTCCTCCCCATCCCAGCTCACTAGCTTGCTGAAAACCTCTTGTCCTCTAGATAGAAAGTTCTTCTGAGTGGCTTTGGACTCATTTGTTAAAAAAAATTGTCATTGATCCCTACTGTGTACTAATACTAAGGTGGGAACAAGGAGCTTAGGATGGAGTGAAGGAGTTAAGACAGGAACACCAAGTAACAAAGTAGAAAGTGATAAAATCCCACATGGTCATTCCAAGTACTGTTGAATATGGAGCAAAGCATTGTGACCAGATTCATTCCAACTTGGCAAGAGAAGAAGGAGGTCAGAGAAGAGAAGGTCTTCTTATTTCATAGAAGAGATGTAGGCACAGCTGAGAAGAGGAGAATCATGGCTGAAAACGGGGCTTCTTCCTGGGTGGTGAGGCAGGAAAGGTTTAGTAGAGGTGAGGGGATAGCATGGAGAGAGAGAAAGGGGTTTGTGGTCAGAGGGCATTTCAGGTTTGGACATCTTGGAACAATCCCAGGAATAAGAATGCAGAAGACAGAGCCACACTAGAGTACAAATGAAGTGGAATAGAGGTTTTAGGAACTGAGAAGTCTGTATATATTTGTTAGCATCAACACAAGTAATGGTGAGGGACAGGGTGCAAGGAAAGGCTGTCAACTTAAGAGCTGAAGAAATGGGAGCACGGACTAGAGGCTAGCAGAGAAGCTTGGGAAAGGATTATGTAAACTAGTGGGATGGTCAAATGAGCCTGGTAGGATGGTGGTCTGGAAACAACAGAGAAGAGCAAGGAAGATTCAGACTGCTTCGATTTGAGAGAACAAGGGACGCAAGAGCCTTCGCTGCAGGAAGGCAGGATCTTGACAGTATGGCTGTGGCTTACTTCTTCAGCCTTATTTACAACTACTTCACTCTAAACAAAATCGTCATTGTAACCCTCTGGGAACAGAGGATAAATTTTGCCTTTCTCTTATGTTTCCTCCTCCTTCCAGGCTTCAGTAATATTTGTTGATTGCCAAACATTCTCCAGAAGTAGGTAGTTTGAGAAGGAAAAGAAATTCGATTACCAATGAGCTGGATTAGATAGCTTTTCTTTCTTTTGGTGAATGCTTCTGTCAGGGCCCTTGGGACAAGGATCCCTCTGTTCTTCTAGGAAGCAACAAGAGAGTTGACCTCACTAACCTACTAATAATAAGACAGAAGCCAAGAAAAAGGATCTTACTTTTTCTTTGTTTCTAGCATTGACCTAAGCCTTCCTGGATCCTACTACTTGTTTAAATAGATTGCACTGTGGCCCCCATTGCTATGACCATCAAAGACACTAACCCCTCAACCTCAGTTTGATTTATGAAGTTGCTCCGTTCTCCTGAGTCCCATTGGGACTGCCTGGCCAGTTGGCATAGAAACCATCATGCTGTTTATAAAAAGAATATTGATTTTAGGTGAAGAATGAGCAGGGAAGAAATCTTAGGAAGGGAGGACAGCTCACTCTTTTCACCTTGGCTGTCCCCAAAATAGCATGTTTATTTTCATTCTTCTGTATCTTTTCCCCAGTTTCTTAGTTTCATCTATCAGTAAGATGCTGGGATCTTCAAGAGCTGATGCAACTCCCTCAATTTAAAAATGAGAAACCCAAGGCCCAAGGGAGGAAAGGGAATTGCTCAAGGCCAGACAGTTATTATTAGTAGCCGAGCAGAGATTTTTTTTTTCTTACTTGCTTTTCACTGTTGGTTTACTACCTTATGAGTGGAGACAGCCCATTCGTTCCAGGGTTGTCTTAAGTCAGATCAGCATGTATTCCTTCAGTTTCGATGAAGAGGCCATCATGGAGGTGACAGAAGAATAGAAGGTACTGGGCCTGTGTGATTTACAATCTGACAGGGCGTGGCAGGAAGCAAATGATGCAGAATAGATGTTAGACTAAAGAATTTGTGTAATATAAATAGAATTCAGTGTTGTGATGTGTGGTCCCAATGACAAGTGCCATAGGGGTTCATAGGCTGGAAATATCGCTTTGGACTTGGGGTGCTTGAAAGCTTCGTGGGGCTAATAGATTCTGAGATAGGCCTGGATGGAAGCACTAGAATTAAAATGAGCTGGATTGATAAAGAAGAAGGAGAGGGGCATCTAGGTGGCACAGTGGATAGAGCATCAGCCCTGGAGTCAGGAGGACCTGAGTTCATATCCGGCCTTAGACACTTGATACTAACTGTGTGACCCTGGGTGAGTCACTTAACCCCATTGCCTAGCCAAAAAAAAAAAAAAAAAGGCAAAGGCATTTTTGCTGGAGTCAGTCATGAGAAGAAAAGCATAGTCTAAGAGTGAACTCGGTTTGGAGAAATTAAGTAGGTCTGACTATAGCAGAGAATTCTCATGAGGAGAAACGTCACATAAATTTTGAGAAAGTAGGAATGGCTGTTGACAAAGGCACTTTAATGCCTGGCTAAGGAGTTTAGGCTTCTTCTGATAGACAGTAAGGAGCTATTGAAAGTTTCTGAGCTGATAAAAGGTTTGTTTTAAGAAGACTAGTCTGACTGAAGTCTTTCAAAAAGATCAGGAGGGAAAGAGTTTGGAGGCTGTTGTAGTGATCTTGGTGTGAAGTGATTTGGCTCAGTAAAGATGCTCTATAAGCAAATGGAAACAGAAATGACTCTCAGGTGGGTCGTCTGAGCTATAAATGCAGATTTTCTAGACATCAGCATGGGTACAGGAACTGTCAGTGTGGATAGCATCTTAAGACTGAGTCTTGGAGGTAGACCCCATTTATCAGACAGGAGATTTCTCAAATCCCAGAATAGCAAGGAGATGAATACGTAAGACTGGGTTGAGCACCCATAGACATTCTCCCTTCTTTTCCCAGTCAGTCTGGAGTTTAGATGCGGGGTAAAAATGTGCTCCTAACTTAATTTTATTCAACTTTTCCTCTTTTTCTTCTCATCCTCCACCTCCCACTACCTTCTAGGGACTCTTACAGCCAGTGTGATCCTCTGAGCTAACTTGAGGATCAAGTATGCTTGAGATCCCTGAGAATTGCTGTTAGGGGTAGGAGAGGGGCTCATAATTCTGAGCGTTTGCTTCCTTCTCTGGCCAAATTATGCTTTCCTTTCCCCCTTCATGGCATCATAGGATTGAGAGTGCAAAAAAAGCCTTTGTAATCATCTAGTCCAGTCTCTTCATTTTACAATAGAGGAAACTGAGGCCCAGAGAAGAGGTTATTGCTGTTGGCTTTCTGATTTGTGACACTTTATTGGGTACTGTCAGCGTGACCTGGCCTTGCTGGTCTTATTGAGCCACTACAGCTCCCTGGAGTTTTCCCCATCCTGGAGAGTCCTAGCCCGCTAGAATGAGAGGAAGGACTAATGCCAGAGAGAATCTGGACTAGAGTCCAGTAGGTCTCCCCCATGGACCTTCTCCCTTGGAGCTCTTTCCCTCTCCTTATTCTCCTAGTCATTGTGATTGGATGATGAAGCTTTAGGGGAAGGTACATAATCTCAGCTTGATTCGTAGCTCCACTGTCTGTTTTAGAGACTGATTTTGGCAAGGTTACTTGCCAAGCACTTCAGGCAGTAGAGAATAAATACCTCATGTGTCCTAGGTGGAGCCCACCCCATCCTGCCTTCAGGCTGGTCACCCCAAGGTGATCCAAGGGCTCTTCTGAAATGAGCTGTCTTCTTCTAGCTCCATGGCTTAGTTAAGACAACCCTTCCCTCCCCCCAGAGTGTCACTTATCCATCCCATCCCACCTAACCCCATTCCTGGTGGTATTGGCCTGTTTTGTTTTCCCAAAAGGCTAATTTTCTAACCAATGTTCCTTTTTCTTTCCAGGCCAACTTATACCCCACAGTGGGCTTGCAGACTCCTGGGGAGATCGTAGACGCCAACTTTGGGCAGCAACCCTTTGTGTTTGACATTGAGGACTACATGAGGGAATGGAGAGCAAAGATTCAGGGAACCATTAAGCGTTTTCCCATCGGTGACAGGCTTGGGGAGTGGCAAGCCATGCTGCAGAAGTGAGTCCTTGTTCCCTGATCCTTTTGTGGCCCCAGCCAGCTGCTCCTATGTCATCCCTACAAAGCCCCAACCCCCAAACCTCCTCATCTCTGTTATCATCACCACAGCCTAAGGGCAGTGCCTCTTGACTCTTTAAGATTCCAGCTTTCAATTGAATTGGTCTCATGGACAAAACTTGGGCCTACCCCCATCCTGGGCTTTCTTTTACTTTCGCCAAGCTGTTTGCTCCTAGAATCCCCAGGTAATGGCTCAGGTAATAAAGGAGCTTTGATCTGAATTTTGCCCAAAGGGGGCCCTTGTCAGTATTTGGATCCTGTTTGTGGTAGGGGTTGAGGAGAGAGGATGTTCTGGTGCTGTCTTTGGCATCTCTCTCCTCTAAGAATCTGTGAAGCCCCAGCCTGCATCTGAAGACCACCCATCTGAGGCCAGATCTTTCTAGCATCTAGAAAAATAGTAAAAGAGACTTTGTTCTTATTATATATTAGAAATCCAGCCAATATAGGGGCACAGCAGGCTCTGACCCAGGCTGCCTAGTTATTTGTGTCATACCTTTAACTGCCCCTTAAAGTCTTTGGAGCAGTCATTGTGATTGGATGATGAAGCTTTAGGGGAAGGTACATAATCTCAGCTTGATTCGTAGCTCCACTGTCTGTTTTAGAGACTGATTTTGGCAAGGTCACTTCCCTCTTCTGTGCCCCATTTTCTCCCGCTGTGTGCATGTTCATCCTAACTTCTGTAGTCTTTTACCGTTCTTACAGGTTAGGCTAAGAAGGAACGAATTTAGTTGTCCTAGTCAGTGACTTAAGAGTCTTAGCATTCAATAGCTATGTGAACTCATTGTCTCCGGGTCCTGTGGCAGAAGTGGAGGGCCTCACCCTAGGGCCTTAGAGGGGACGATGCCATCAGGGAACCGCCTGTGCCCTGTTTGACTTCACATTTAAAAAAGCAGCTGAGGGTTCTTTTGTCTCCTTGGGGTATTATGGCAGCCTCCAGTAGCTGGTAAGTGGCTGTTATCTAGAGCCTCCCCTCTTTGTTTGAAGCTGCTGAAGGTGTTGCATGAGCAACACCTAGTGGACCTAGATGTGACCAGGGACTGGGGATAAAGTCCCCACTGGTCAGAGTACCCTGTGCTTGTTGCTTTTCACTTGGCTCTGACGCTCACTGCCTCTCTGTGTGACTGTGTAGAGAGCTTCACCTGTCAACCTCTGCCAAAGGAAAGTAATAATTCTTGGGTTAACTCCCTCACAGGGTGGTTGAGAGGAAAGGACCTTGTAAATCTCCAAGCTCTGTGAAAATGAGAGCATTTTTTTCTCCATTTTAAAAAATTTTATTAATTTATTTTTAGTTTCAACATTCACTTTCATAAGCTTTTGAGTTTTAAATTTTCTTCCCCTCTCTTCCCACCTCCCTCCCCAAGACAGCTTGCAATCTGATGTAGGCTCTATATATACATTTCTACTAAACATATTTTCACATTAGTGATGTTGTAAGGAAGAATTAGAACCAATAAGGAGGGACCACAAGAAAGAGAAAACAAAACAAAACAGAAGAGAAAAAAAAGAGCAAATAGTATGTTTTGATCTGTGTTTCAACTCCATAGTTTTTTCTCTGGATGTAGATAGCATTTTCCATCATGAGACTTTTGGAGTTGTCTTAGATCCTTGCATTGCTGAGAAGAACTAAGTCTATCAAAGTTAGTCATCGCACAACATGACTGTTACTGTGTAGAACATTCTTCTGGTTCTGCTCACTTCACTCAGCATCAGTCCATACAAGTTTTTCCAGGTTTTTTTGAAGTCTCCTTGCTCATCATTCTTTTTTTTTCTTCTTCTCATAATTTCTTATCACACAATAGTATTCCATTACATTCATGTATCACAGCTTGTTCAGCCATTCCCCAATTAATGGGTATTCCCTCAATTTCCAATTCTTTGCCACCACAGAAAGAGCTGCTATAAATATTTTTGTACATGTGGGTCCTTTTCCTGTTTTTATGATCTCTTTGGGATACAGCCTTAGAAGTGCTATTGCTGGATCAAAGGGTACGCACATTTTTATAGCCCTTTGGGTGTAGTTCCAAATTGCTCTCCAAAATGGTCGGATCAGTTCACAACTCCACCAGCAATGCATTAATGTTCCAATTTTCCCACATCTTCTCCACCATTTATCATTGTCCTGTTTTGTCATGTTAGCCAATCTGATGGGTGTGAGGTGGTACCTCAAAATTGTTTTGATTTGTATTTCTCTAATCAATAGTGATTTAGAGCATTTTTTCATGACTATAGATAGCTTTAATTTCTTCATCTAAAAACTGCCTGTTCTTATCCTTTGACCATTTATCATTTGGGGAATGATGTGTATTCTTATAAATTTGACTCAGTTCTCTATATGGTTTAGAAATGAGGCCCTTATCAGAGACACTGGTTGTAAAAATTCTTTCCCAGTTTTCTGCTTCCCTCCTAATCTTGGTTGCATTGGCTTTGTTTGTGCAAAAACTTTTCAATTTAATGTAATCAAAATTATCCATTTTGCATTTCATAATGTAAATGAGAGCATTTTTGTTCCCTTCCAAACAGTGATGTTCATTAGAGAAGATGGACTCAGTCTTGGTGTTGAGGAGAGGAGGCTGGGCCTTAGCAAAACCTTCTTGTGTCCTGAGAGTTCAGATGTGAGCAGCATCAGGCCATCTCCTGTCCTGCCTTGTTTTGCTGGGTGGGGAATTTAGTAGGCTGTGTGCGCATACATACACACCCACGCCCACCCACACAACTCAATGCCTTGATAAATGCTTTACCCACAAGGTTGTCTGAGTGGAAACCAAGGACTCATTTGTTTTAAAAGAGAGAAACATGAAAATAAAGAAAACTCCATTACTGAACCTGTAGTCTTGTCTGCCATTTGCCTTTGGCAATAAGTCTGTTTTTGCACAGAGTGAACATGGTTATTCCAAGCCACACTGAGCTAGCTCCCTCAACCCAACAGTCACTAATGTTTCCATATAACGTCTTTGGGTGCTGAATTTCTGGAAGCCAGCTTGAGTAGGGAAGACTGGGTAAAGGAGCTGTCATTTGAAAGGAGTCTATCTGTAAGAAAGAAGCATGTATATACTCAGAGACATATGCTCATGGGCACAGGCCTGCATAAGAATGCCCACAAACCTACACATGCCTGCACTTGGAGAACCAGAGACTTAGAGGGAGGTCATCAGATCTAGTGTCCCACCAAGTACAGGAATCTGGGTCGTCCCACTCTGCTTCTCTGCCAGTTGTCATCCAACCTGTGTTTGAATCTTTCTGGTGATGAGGAACTTAGTACCTAACAAAGCATCCAGTGTCAGACAACCCTAATTGTTAAAAAGTTCTCTCTTTATTATGCTGAGTTGAATAATAGTAGTTGTAGTTCCCATTTCTGTAGTACTTTAAGATTTATAAGGCATGTTCCTTATAATGACCTAATTCACAAGTACCATTATTCCCATTCTGCCCATGAGCTTCTGTGTCCTTGGTCACAGAGCTAATAGGTTTCAGAGTTAGGATTCAGACTCATGTCTGCTGACTCGAGGTCCAGCTGTCTCTCCACTACACTTCACCATCTCTTATCCTTTATAAGGTCCACGCATTGGTCTTCATTCTGCCTTTTTCCACACGACATTCCTTTAAATCCCTGAAATCATTCTAATACTTTACACGCATCGGCGTGAACAGAAAGGTCTGCAGAAGTATATCGGAGTGCTCGCACAGCTATAAATGTGTGCGTGTGCATATTTGCAAGTATATGGGGCGTATGTGTAGGCCCTCTTTGGCTTTTCACACCCTCTCTGGCAGTGCAGCGGACTTGGAGATGTAGCTTCTTACTGAGTGGCCTTTTGAAGCTGCTCATCTCACCAGACTTTCTATAGATTCTTCTCTCCTGTAGGTTTAGTGATTGGTTTTAGATCTAACTTGACCTCTCCTTCCCCCAACTCTTGCTCAGTGACAAACAGAGTAGATGGTTTCTCAGATAGGGGCAGAGCCAGCATTTCTGAAGGCTTAATAGAGCCCAGTGAGAGTGATATGTCTGCAAGAAATCAGCACAGCCAGCCTGGCCCATTGTGGGGCAGTGAGAGGAAAGATTCTAGTATCTCCTGAAAACATGCTTGCACTGCAGGCTTTCTCAAGCTAAATTATATTGAGGCTGCTTCTCAGTGCCATTTCAGGAAGTGCACAGCAAAAGAAATTAGCTCTCTTTCTGGTTGCTGATGTCCCTGAGGTCCCTTGAGAAAGCTGCTCCTAGAACGATTTCTTAGCTTTGTAAGTGTGTCTGAGAAGATGGTACTAATGAGCACCAGGCAGCGCATCCACCATGATTAGCCGCCTGCCTCACCACAGGCTGTGGCCATCCTCTCCCTTCCAGCACCTACTGTTGCCAAACCCAATGATTTGGATGGAGAATAGTCGTAGTCAGAGTGTTAGAACTAGAAGGAGCCTTGGAAGCAGGCAGATGTAGACGGAGGAGCCTTTAATGTCATCTCACAGAGGAGGAGCCTGGCTTAGGAAGGTGCAGGTCTCACCCTAGGTCTCAGGGAGCAAACAAGAGGCCCAGGGCCTTGCGCTCCGTAGCCATTTCCCTGGCTCGAATTTGCTTCTGTTCTAGTCCAAAGATTCTTATTCTTTTTTGTGTCACACATTCCTTTGACTAGCTGGTGAAGCCTAGGGACCCCATCTCAGAATACTGTTTTTAAATTCACAAAATAAAATACATAGGGTTATAAAGGAAACCAATTATATTGAAATACAGTTATCAAAAGTTTCTTAAAAATAAGTTCTTAGAACCTGGGTCAAAAACTCCTGATCTAGCTCTACCCTCATTTTATAGACAAGCTGAGCCTGGATTCGAACCCAGGTCTCCTGACTGGTAGCCCAAGGCTCTTTTCTTCTTTATGAGCTGAATTAAAGTGTTTAGGTCCTTTTTCAATACAACAGTAAAAGCTGTATGTCCAGCGCCTCCACCGTGGGTTTATTTTGGGGGAAGCTTGAATGAGGAGCGTAGTTCAAAAAGATGGTATTTCCAGTCACATCCTAATTTGCAGAGTTCCTTTTTTGAATGTCCCTGTTTTTCTGTCTTTTTTAGCATGGTCTCTTCCTACCTGGTGCATCATGGGTATTGTGCTACTGCCACAGCTTTTGCCCGTATGACAGAAACCACGATTCAGGAAGAACAGGCTTCTATCAAGAACAGACAAAGTAAGACCAAGCCTCCTCCCTCGGCCCCCGGCCCTCCTCCCCACTTGTCTGTGTTCTCCCCACCTTGAGACCTTCTTTATCTCCTCGGGTTCACTAATGCTGGCCTTCGCCTGTGTGGGAGGCCATCAGAGCCCTGGAGCTCGGGCTTTGTTCCTCCTCCTGGGGGGGCCCAGCTCAGTCCCTCAGCTCTAACCATCCCCTTTTCCTTGACCAGGAGGTCTTTAGAGACCTTCTGCTCCAGCCCAGACATTTTCTTCAGCCAGGTCCTATGGGACTGATTGTTTTCTTGGTGTGGACAAAGCTCACTTTCTCCATGGTGTTCTGGCTGCTGGCCTAGGACCCAGAGCCCTGGCAGGCTTAGATTGAGAGCCTCCGCTGTGTGGAGTTTGGTCCCATTGAGCGTCATTGTCTCAGTCGGATCACTCTGACAGCTTCCGAGTCACCTGTTTCTTTCTTAGCAGGGCCCTGGGCCTTCGGTCCTCACTTCAAGCAGCTGTTCATGTTGGTGGCAGAAGAAAGGGCTGCAGGTCTCAGGCCTGTTTAAGGGCCTGAGAGAGGGCAGTGCCTTCCTCTCTTCCACCTCCCTGCCTTCAAAGGGCCCAAGGAGGGTCCTGGCTGGCCAGTCCTAAAAGACCCACCAAGAGCTCAGAGTTGGCAGGGCCCTACTCTTCCCTAGATCTCTAGTCAGCAAAATGTTCCAATTGTAGACAGTCAGTCTAGAAGATCGACCATAGAAAGTGAATGTTGGAAAGGTGAACTCCCACATGACCCTGCAGATGTATTTTCTTCCTTCTCAGGTTCCTCCTGACAGAGGAAAGAAAGGAAAAAGAAAATAGGGTGGGTGGGCAGTTGTCTCTATACTGTTCTCTGAACCTGTTGGTATTTGTGTATATATTTGTGTTTGTGTCTCCCAGAAAAGCAGACACTCAACCAGATGGGCATTCCCAATATGGGACCTGCAGCTGAGAAAGACTGAACCAGAGATAGCTTCCACGCAGGCAGATAAGAAATAGGGTCAAGACTGAAATGTAGCAGTGCAAAGACTGAGAAAATCAGAGATTTAGGGTTAAGAGAGAGGGAAAGGGGGGCAGACACAACCCCCCAAACTTGTGGAGAAAAGTGTGGTAGTCAGAGAACTTGTGGTTCATGGGTTTAAATGATTTGAATAATCACAGTAGTAGTTTGCATGTGTCCAGTCTCTAAGATTTACAGAGCACTTCCCTCACGACCGCCAGTGCAGTAGGTGATATGAGAATTCTGTCTCCATTTTACAGTTGAGGAAAATGCGGCATGAGTGACTGGTCTGTAACCACACTTGCAGTGAGTGTCCAAACTGGGCTTCATAAAATCATGGCTCTGGGGCTGGGGGATCTTAGGACTTCTCTGTCCAGTTCTACTCTAGAACCTAGCGAGGTGAATTATGACTTCTGCCCTTGGTAGAGTTGAGATTGGCATCGAGATAAAGTGGATTCCTTTGTCGTAGTTCCCTCACTTTGCCCTTAGATCCTGAGGAGCCCCCCATGACCGTTTCCTGATTTCTTGGAGGCTAGAGTGCCTTCAGCACAGTGAAAGTCCTCCCTAAGAACAGGCCCCCGAGCCTGCTTTCCTGCCTTTTCACTGAGACTTAGCTTCTAGTTTTCTCTCATCCACCCTTAAAAATTCCTGAGTGCCTATTCACAATGCAGAAGAGGCCAGAGGATAGGAACAGACAGACGGGGTCAAAAGAGAAAACTCGAACTTGTAACAATGACTTGAAAAAATGCTGAACCTCAGGAAGTGCAGAGATGTCAATTAAAACAGCCTTGAGGTACCACTTCACCCCTTAAATGAGCAAAGATAATGAAAAGCAGCAAAACAGCTGGCCACAGCTATTCTCATTCTTTGGGGCAGAATTAGAAACTTGTAAGATCTTTGTGGAGTGCAGTCTGGCAGTATATACTAGAAAATGCAAAAATAATCATGCCCTTAGAACCCATAGTTCCATGAAGGAATATACCCTGCAAGAATGACCAAAAACAAACAAAAAAACAAAACAAAACACTATCTGTTGAAACAGTGTGAAATTTCAACACTAGGAAAGTGGTCAACTTATGGTACAGTAACTAATGGATTACTCTACTGGAAACTTGAGATCAGTAAGTTAGGAGAATACAAAAGAAATATGGAAAGACCTTATTTGCATGAAACAATGCTTTGTGGAAAAAACAGCCCAAAAAACCCAAATATACTACAAACATAAAGAGTAAAAGGGAATGAGAATGAATCCTGACGGGGACTTAGAGGGAGGGATGGAAAAGTTAGGATATCTTAGGCATTGAAATGAAGGAATTTAAATGTAAAGAGTTACTCTGCAATATTGATGTTAAAAGTTTAATTTTTAATAATTTAATATTGAAAGAAAAAAAGATTCCTTGGCCATTTGCAGAAGGAGGGGGAATTCACAGCAGAATTCTACCTCGGTGAATTTGCCCAAGTCCCTTCTGGCTTCATAGTAGGGTCGTCCTGCCTTCTGGCTTCCTGTGGCTTCACCATGTTGCCCAGCTTTCCTCATGCCACAGGTCAGTGGGCTGGACAGCACTGACTTGGCATTGAACATCTTCTCGCCAGAGCCTAAGCTAGTGCTGTCTGTCGTTGGTGGCCAGGCTACTGGAATCTCCCAAGCAGTCTTCCTCACACCAGGCTCTTTCCCTTTCTAATTAATCTCCTCCTCCCCCACTGTGAAGTCAAAGCAGTGTTGGAAGAAGCACCAGATCTGCAGTCAGAAGACATGGGTTCATAACCTGGCTCTGTGTGTCCTCGGGGACAGAGCACTAGACGTGGAGTCATAAGACCTGGCTTTAGTCCCGTCCTGTGTGACCCTGCTCTCTGGGCCTCATACTCCTTATCTGTGAAAGGAGGGAATTGGACGCAGTGGCTTCTGGGGTCCTTTCCCCTCTGAATTGATGATCTCATGGTGTAACTGTGGGCAAGTGCTTTCCCCTCTGTTTCCTCCTATGTGACCTGAGAAGCTCAACCTGGGTGATTGCCAAGTGGGAGATCTAAATGCTACGATCTTCTCACTCCTCTAGTCAGTAAACTTCTCTGGCTCCCCATTGAGTGTTGAGCTGGCACACGGGGCCAGTCAGGGTGCCTTCAGACCTTTGTGCTCTGTCATCTGCTCTTCCTCTGCACAGGCTCTCCATGTCTGCGAGATGGGACTCTGCATCCTGTGGGTTTGTCCTGCCACGTCTGTCTGTCTGTCTGTCTCTTGTTTGTGCCTCTGCTTCCTGTAGCCTTCACCCTGCACCAAGTTTCTTTCATCTTTGCCTCTCGAAATCCCTCCTTTTCTTCATGGCCCAGTGAGATGCAGACACTCCCTAGGTGAAAGTGTCTCTCTCTCCTCAGGTTTCTTCTATTTTGCTTTCCTTTCCTCTTGGTCTCCCTTAGATCTTTATTATTTGGGATCTGTATCTCTTCCTTGTGCCTTAGATCATAAACTTCCTGAGGGCAGGGGCAAGATTTGTGCCATGTCTTTATATCTCCAGTACCAAGCATAAGACCTTGCCCATTGCAGATTCTTTAATCAATGGTTGTTGAATGAGTTTCTTAAGCACTGAGAGAGGCTCAGTGGTCAGGGTATTGAAATGTGTTTCTCTTTTGCCATTGGAGTCCTGACTGCTGTGCTCTTGCTTCTAGGAATACAAAAGCTTATGCTGGCAGGTCGAGTGGGAGAGGCCATCGAAGCCACCCAGCAGCTCTACCCTGGTCTGCTGGAGCACAACCCCAACCTGCTCTTCATGTTGAAGTAAGTTGGCAGCCCCTGTGTGGTCTGGGATGTCTAGCCCTCCTATTGGCTGTAGCTCTGACAGATACTCATGGAACAAAACAAAGTATTTACTTAAAGCATTTTCCCTCTGCTCCTTCCCCGATTCTCATTCCCCTCCCTCCCCGCCAGGTGCCGGCAGTTTGTGGAGATGGTGAATGGAACAGACAGTGAGGTTCGCTGTTTCAGTGCTCGAAGCCCCAAATCCCAAGACAGCTACCCAGGGTCCCCCAGCCTCAGCCCTAGACATGGGCCCAGCAATTCACATCTGCACAGCACTGGTAAACCCTGCTTTTGACATCTGTGGTAGAGGGCATGATGAAAAGTGTGAAAGAATCTTTCTTCAGAAGCTCTTGGCCCAGATTTGTACCTGATACCTTTTTTAGGAGTGTTTCTGACTCCAGCCAGACTCCACCACTCCATAGTTGTGTGACCCTGGGCAAACCCGGAACCTCTCTGAACCTTGTTTTCCTTATGAGGATAATGACACTTGAACTACCTACTTCACAAAATTGGTTTGAAAAAAATCTCTTCATAAATCCTAAAACACTAGAGAAATCTGAACTGTTGCCATTCTTGCTGGTGGGACTGTTCTTCAGGCTTCTGGGTAAAGACTGCAACTAATTATCTCTCAGGACCAGGCCCTATTAGAGACCTGTCTCTGATTACGGGGGTGCCTGATGGTTTGCTGACTCAAAGTATGATGTAGGAAGGCAGATGTCGAGTGTACAAGAGTGCCTGGGTTGGGTATAGACATTAATCGGAGGATGGATACTCTTGGGGAGGTAGGAGAACAGGTTTGGAGAAGGATTTGAAAAGAAGAGGCCAGTGAGAGGTGATGAGGCTAGTTTCCTATGTGCTCCCTGGAGCACCTTTTAGAAGAGGGGAGGGATTCCCGAATTCCTTGACCAGGGATGGAGCGAGATGTATCTGTTTTACATGAGGTCTTGGCAGGGGTGCTGCTGGACAGGAAATGCCTGAGCAGCAGTGATGTTACTGATTTTATTGGAGCCCTAAACCTAGAAAAAAGTCTCTGCCCCACTGCCTGAGGTTCCCTTCCAAGGAAGATTCCACTAGAGAAGCCTCAGTCCTCAGGAGCACCTGGAGTAGAGACAACTTACCAACATATGTCCCAGAGAAAGATCCAAGTGTCTCTGACATTGCTGTCCAGTCTCTTGTGCCGTGGCACTGAGGAAATCAATATTCAGCAAGTTTTAGTACCCTGACAAGGAGGTGTCTGGGGACCCTCTCCCTCTTCTGTATCTCTTTCTGGGCTCATGTTTCCATGCCAGCAGGGAGGGGAATCACTTGGTTGCATTGCCACTTTCTTGCCACCCATCCAGCCTTTTGACTCTGTTCTCTTGGCTTTCAGGAGCAGAAAGCCCAAGCTGTAGCAACGGGGTCACATCCACCAAAAGCAAACAGAGTCACAGTAAATACCCAGCCCTGAGCTCCTCATCATCGTCGTCATCCTCCTCCTCCCCTTCGTCAGTCAACTACTCTGAGTCCAACTCCACAGACTCCACCAAATCCCAGCAGCACAGTAGTACAAGTAACCAAGAGACCAGGTACCACACTTCCCTTCTTTGTTCTTGGGGCAGACCATGGCTCAGAAGCGGTGCCCACCCGAGGGCCTTGCCCCTGGCAGCACCATACTCTGACTAACTCCCTAACACTCTCCTCCTCTTTTCCCTTCATCCCCACCATCCCTGCACAGTCATTCCACCACCTCACTCCCTAGTAGTGATCAGAGCCTAAGCTTGACCCCAGGAACCCTGAGCCCTTAGGTCAGCTTTGTTGATGCTTTCCTCTCTCCCAGACAAGGCTCTGCCTTTAGTCATTTACCTCCAGGCCTCAGGATTTTTCATACCCTTGGGACCCTGGGGAGCAGCAGGCTCTCTTATTCCTTTCAGCTTTCTCCATTACCCACCATATACTGTTGACAATTCTATTGTATGATGCAGGAGAATGTTCCTTTTAGCTTGTAGGGCCTTTCTGAGCTCCGTGGTTAATACTGCTGAAAGGGATGGGACTCTTAGGATGACCAAACACACAAGAACACTGATCGCTCGGGACCACTGCCTGGCTGGGCTGAGCCAGAGGTGGGGAGAAGACAGTCCCAGGCAATACCTTCGGTTCACTGGCCTGTGAATGAGGCTGTGGAATAGAATCATTGCCAACTTAGCTCAGACCTCTATAAGGCCCAGCCCCTTGTCCAGGGCCGGTACTAAGGTGAATAAGGTGCTCTAGTCATTGTGACGCTGGAACTGGTGTCTCTCCACTTAACCCATCAGAGACTCAGGGTTTCTCTCTCCTGGTTAAGCCTTCCCTCCCTGCTGTCGCCAACATGGCCATTTCCACCAAAGCTGACGAAGGCCCTGAGGTCCACCTGGAGTAGCTAGAGGGCTGGGGAGGATCTCTTAGGGGTCCTGTAGGATTCAGCTTAAGAGGAATTCCATCTTCATGGTTTAGCGGATGGAGAGTCAGGGAGAAAAGGACACTTAAGGAAAGAGGAAGGAATCAGAAAATGGTCGTTCTAAGGGGGCAGAGAGAAAAACTGCAATTAGGTGCCAGCTTCAAAGGATCCCAGAGGAAGTTAGGGTTTCATGAAAAGAACACTGACTTTGGAGTCGCAAAGACCTGAATTCAGATACTCAGTCTCCTATTTAATATCTTTCTCACCTTCTCCTATGTGGCCCTGTTTCCTCCTCGGCAAAAATGAAGGCATTTGATTAGGTGATCTCAAAGATCCCTTCTAGCTCTAAATGATATGATTCTATAGGCCTCTGATTATAGAAGGAGGATTAGCCATTGGTTAATGTGAGGGTAGGGATGGAAGGAGAGAAGAGAGAATTGGGAGAGCAGAGTGGTGGGAGATGGAGAAATTAGGCCCTAGCCCATCATGGTGTCCTGGGCAGATAGTAGGTGCTCACCAAACATGTGTTGGTTTGAATTGAAATTAAATTAGTGATAGGCGGAGATGATTTTCCAATCTTGAAAATGAAGACTCCCTGGAAAGTGGCCCACTTCACCGAGCAGCTCAGGGCTAGGCTTCGGGAGGGCAGGAATCCCAAGCTCCAACTTTGTGGGGAGCCCAGCCACATCCAAGCATCTTTTCTTGGCCAACATCCTCTCCTCCCTCTTTTTCAGCGACAGCGAGATGGAAATGGAAGCCGAACATTATCCCAATGGAGTGCCAGAGAGCTCATCCACCCGGATCATGAATGGTGCCTACAAACATGAAGACATCCTGCAGACAGATGAATCCAGTGTGGGTAAGGGCCTTCCCAGGAGGGCAGTAGCCTGTCCCCTCTATGACTTGCCCAGAAATCAACTCTGGGGATGTGGACTTCACCCTGTGATTCTCAGCTGACGGTGTTGGGGTCTGAAGCCCTGACAACTGCTGGAGCTGGGCCTGACCGAGTGAGGTCTGGTGGGAATTTAAGAAGCCCGCTGGTCTTGAGAAGCCTCTGGTCTACCCTGGCCAGATCTTCTTTAACAGAGCATGAATAACCTATGTCAGATTGCTTACCATCTCAGGGAGAGGAAGGGAGGGAAAGAATTTGGAACTCAAGGTTTTTAAAAATGAATGTTAAAAAAAATTTTTATGTAATTGGGAGAAAAAATTACTATTAAAAAAAAAACAAACCAGCAACCGTGCAGGGGGCTGACTCCCTGTATTCCTCCTAGGGAAGTTGTACACTGGAGTATTTCAAGAGCTGAATGAATGTCTAGATTTATTTTCAGGCCAGCATGTCATTTGGGGCTTGAGTGAGATCACAGTTTAGTAGTCAGAGGATGCAGAAGATGTCTGACAGAGAGCATGCTAAGTCAAAATAGACGTTGTTGGATCTAAGGTGGTCTTCCCCAGACTCTGCCAGCAGGCTTCTCCAGCTTCCTGAAGTCTGGCCATGTAGACAGACCCAGCCACAGATCATCCAGAAGCAGCCCTAGCCTTAGGTCATCCAGGGGCCCCCACATCACACAGCTGTCACCTCTTCTGACTGCCACCATCTTTCCTTAAAGCCCTGGGATGGGAAAACAGTGTACTAGGCGACCCCTGGGATTCTTGCTAGCCTGTTCTTAATGTATGTTTTCTGTGTCCTCTCCCTCTCGGCACAGAAGATGGGCGTCCTCGGCGACAGCTCTGTGGAGGCAACCAGGCTGCCACAGAGAGAATTATCTTGTTTGGCCGGGAGCTGCAGACCCTCAGTGAGCAACTGTGCCGAGAGTACGGCAAGAATCTGGCCCATAAAGAGATGCTGCAGGTAACTCCAGGATGGCCTTGGGGCCTGAGGGCTAAGGGACTGGGTAGCACTTGGGTATGACATTCCACCCTCATCCGTCCCTGAAAGAAGCCTATAGGAAAGGCAGCGCCCCAGTGACAGGCCCTGGCCAAGAGAGCAGGAGCACAAAGGCCTTTGTTCACGTGGTAGAGCCAGGCCCCAGCCCTGAGTTAAGTGGGTGACAGGATTGGCTTGGTAGACAGTTTCCAGTGGGACTGATTTGGTAGCCCCACGCGGGGGGAGGGACTTCTGTGTCTGAGGGAGAGAAGGGGCAGCAGCAGCTTGTTATGTCGGGAGTAGCCCCTTCAGGGGATTCGAGGATCCTACTTCATGTTTCAGCCCCAACAAAACAGTCACCTCCTCTGCAGTTCAGCTCCAGAAACTCCCGCTGCAGGAGAAGCCCCTGAGCTCCTTTCCAGCTGCTGCCCGGGGCTCCAGGAATAAGGCCAGGCCAGCAATCTCAGGGGGTTGGGCTGGGAGCCTTCACGAAGAGGACAGCTTTTTACTCTGCCTGAAGGGGAGCTCCTCGGAGACGGGGAGGAAAGCAGGTCTGTTGGAGCTTGTAGGCTCGGCCCCAGCGCTCCCCAGCGCTCCAGCTGAGGAGATGGAGGGGGGCTTTGGGAGGGGAGGGCCTCACGGGAAGGGCCCCTCCTTTCTCACCACTTCTTCCATCTGCTTTCTTCCATCCAGGACGCATTCAGCTTATTAGCATACTCCGACCCATGGAACTGCCCTGTTGGTCAGCAGCTAGACCCTATCCAGAGGGAGCCTGTGTGTGCAGCTCTCAATAGTGCTATTTTAGGTAGGAAAAGAGCCCCCAGGCGAGATTCTGCTGTTTCCATGCCTGGGAGTCAGGGGAGTCCAAGCTCCCAGCTTCCCCAGGGAGCTTTCACTGCCCCAGGCTTAGACAGAACCTGGGCAAGATGATGAAGGAAACTTTCCTCCCTCCTCTCTTGACTCTGATCAAAGATAAGGTTTGGTGTCCTTTAAAGGGGGGTTTATGTTGGGCTCAGACCCACTGGGAACATAAAGAGATCATACAGGATTGTTGGCTGCCTACAAGCCATATACTAGGTACTTGAGGGCCTTTTAGGGCTCAGGAAGGATGTGGTTCCCTGCTCTTAAGGAGTTCACTCTCTGGCATCTACCAGATTGGGAATGGAGAGACTCAGTAGATCCATGCCAGTGGGAAGTCTCTTCCCCTCCCTCCTCTCCCACCCCTCCTTTAGCCACCTTCACCCTCAAGGCTCCTGCCTGCCTTCCCCCCTTTAGGACATTTGGGCTTGGGGACTCCCCTTTCCTCCTGGAGGATGATTAGACCCTAGTCTTTATTATGCCCCTTCTGGGATAGTCAGGTCACTGATTCTGCCCAGATTCTACCCAGGTTTGTTCCATGGATTAGTCCCTAATCCCAGCCATGGACTGAATCCCAATTCCTACTCGACCCTAACACCAGGCTGACTCTAACCTTGGTCATAGATGGACCCATCACTTTGAAATGAGCTTCAGCCGTGGCCACAGACTGGGCCCCTGACTCTGGGCTCTGACTGACTCCCTGCTCCTGGCCACAGACTGACTCCCCACCCTGACAATAGATTTGTGCCTCACCCTCGACACAGACCCTGATGCTCTGGATTGAATCCTAACCCGAGACTGACTCCCTGGTTGTGGTCATAGATCGAACCATAACCTTGGCCACAGCCTAACCCTTTCCCCAGCTCTGTTTATAGATGGAGTGTCTTAACCATCACCACAGGTTGCAACCTTTACCCTGGTCTCAGACTGTATCTAACCCTAGACACAGATTGAGCCCCCTAACCTGGACAGAGCCTGACATTCTCTTCCTCCATCTCTGCCACCAGAATAATCGTCTAACTCTTGCCCGAGTTTGAGTTTTAACTCTGAGCCATGATTGACCAGTAACCTTAGCCTAATACCCTAGCCCTGGCCATGGATTGATGTCTTCATGTTGATCATGGTCTGACCTTTTCTCCCTAGCCCTACTCTGATTTCCTCACTCTAATTAGAGACTGTGTTAACCTTAACCCTCAATCTAGGTTGGCCTCTGACCCCAGCCATGGACCAAGGCCCTAACTTTGATCTCAGATTGACCCCCCCTTCTTCCACCTTAACCCAACTCCCTAACTCTGACCACAGACCAGCCCCTAACTTAGATTACACATTAATCTTTAACAATAGGCACCCCTAAGCTTAGCCACATAGAGATTCTAGTCAAGGCCACACAGGTCAACCCCCTGACTCTCACCATAGGCTATATTCCTCTCATTGAGCTCTTACAGGTGTGTGCCCTTGGTCACAAAGAGAACTGGACAAGAGCTAGCATGTAGCCACTCTCCTTCTGACCCCAAATTAGGTTCTTTGGGGCATTTTCCTCTGCTCTGGGTTTCCTGTATTTCTGTATATAGACTTTGCTATAGACATGGGAACCAAACCTAATTCAGCACCCAGTCTTCTAAATCTGACTGTAGGGTATATGCTGGCCTTATGCAGTGATGCTGAGAGCTGAGGCCTTTGAGAGAATAATCTGGTCTTCTTTTTTTCCCCTGCAGAATCTCAAAACCTGCCAAAGCAGCCCCCACTGATGCTCGCCTTGGGCCAAGCATCCGAGTGTCTTCGGCTTATGGCCCGAGTTGGCCTAGGCTCCTGTTCATTTGCCAGAGTTGATGACTATTTGCACTAGCCACCTGAGTAAGAGGGGAGCACCATCCCACCAAGCTGCCCTAGCCTGGCCCCTGGGCTCAATCTGGCCTTCTCCATGCTGCCCCTCCTCACCCTGGGCTAGCCCAAGGACTCAGGGCTAGCCTTATCCTCTCATTATCATGATGGCCCCTTCTCACACATCTGTCTCAGAGACCTGGAAGCTGCTGGCAGAGTTAGATCTTCCTCTCTCTCCACCTCCCCCAACTCCTCCCTTCCTTTTCCATTCCTTTTCTCCATCCTTCTCTCAACCTCCCCTTGACTCTTTCTTCCATCATGTGCAGCAACAGCAGGGACAACATACACACAGTATTTGGCTGGTTACCCTAATGTAGCGCCTTCCACTCTTAGGGACATTGTTGGGGGGAGGCAGAGGGAGTCGGTTGTTTTTGGTTTTTTATCTATATTTTTTCTGACTGAGCCACCAGTATTTATCTCTGGAGAGTTTGTGCTGAGCTGGTTTCTGCTAATTTAGTGATGATAAAGCTCATCCAAGTTGGTGATAGCTTATTATTTTCTTAAGTAAAAAAAATGAGATTATATATAAATATATATATATAAACAAACAGTATTTATCGTAGTGCTAGTTGTCTGGATGCTTTGGGGAGAGGCAGTCCAGACAGTGTATGTTTTTAGGGGGAGGGGGAGGTCCCGCTCACTAGAAAGAAACCATCTCTGTCACCTCAAACAAGTTGTTCATTTCCTTCTACCATGTCCCCAGCTGAACTTCCAAACCATAAAGTCAGTTGAAGAAAACACAGTAGGAACTTTGTTGTGTTGGATATGGCCAGAGATAGGAAAGAAGAGGGAGAGCAGGAGCCAAGGGAGGCTGGTCATCAGATCGTGCAGTTTAGAGGGAGACAGGGACTTTTCCAGTTTATGTGTTCCAACACCCTCATTTGACAGATGAGGAAACAGTTCCTGAAAGAGAAGGGGACCTGCCTGAGGTCACATAATGAATAGCAGATCCAAGGCTAACCTTGGTCTTCTGGCTCTAAGTCTAAGCTGCCCCGTCCACCATACTAGGTCACCTCTCTGATAGTGTCAGAGGGAGGACGCCCTCGAGAAGGGGGAGGAACAGTCCTTTGGTTCAGGCAGAGACAGCCAGGTAGAACTGGGCACTGGGACTAGAGATGTCCCAGTTTGATTGTTGAGGCTGATGAGACACTGCCCCCCCCCCAATCAGGATGTAGTTAGAATAAACCAGTGTGGGGAAGGGGTAGAAACTTAGAGTAGTCAGACCTTTTCTGGAAAAGGGCTCAGAGCTGTCTTGGGTATTGATGTTCCAGTTCCAGGCCCAGGCTTCAAAGCAGTGCTGATTCAAAGAACAATGAATTATAGTCTTAATTCCATCTCTTTGAGGGGCAGCAGCCATCTTGGGTCAGTTGCTGGTTTGCTTTTTTCTTTTTTTTCCCCTTCTTTGAAGTGTGTATTTTGAAGTCTTGAATTTTTTTATGGCTATTCTTGGCAAAATGAGACTTTGAGGAACATGGCCCTTTTTGCAGAACCATTATCTGGTCTATATGAGGTGGAGTCACTGAATTCTAGGGGAGTATGGATGTCATGTTCAGGAGTTTAGCACGGGGCCTTTGTTCTGTTCCAGAGGCCAGTAGTGAGTAAGTAGTGCAGAGGATTCCCACCTGCAGGGATAATATTCAGCCTTTGATTCCAGGAGTTCAGAGCATACCTGCCCCTGAAGTTTGTCTCCAGTCACCAGAAGGGCTGTCTGCATTTAAAACAGTGGAAGAAAAGAAAAAGGCTCTTCTTAGTGAGCTCCTAAAGCCCTGAGACATGAGCTGGCCATATGCCAAGGCTCCCTAGGGAAGACTAGAGGTGATGATTTTTCAGGGGGAAGAGACCTTTCCATTTATCAAACAAGAGAAGAAACCTGTGCCTAGAAAGGAGCCGTGATTTGTCCAAGTTCTGTGGCCTTCTTGAATGAGAGCTTTCTCCTTCTGGGTCAGGGAGGATAGCCGTTCGGCATCAGGAATTGGGTGTTTCAGGCCCAGAGAAGAGGGGCCCGAAGAGACCTCCTCAGGGGATCCTGGATGGAGAGGAAGATGACCACATTCTCAGGCATCAGAAGCTGTGGAGTTAGCTCTTGTAGAGGCTCTGCCACCTGAGGTACCAGTGCCAGTTTTCAGGATCTGCCCCTTCTCCTACTCCTCCCTGGGCCTGAGTCTGCCAAAGCTATGCCTCCCATCTCAGAGAGCTCTCTGTGGAAAGACTGTTGGCATGCTTCTGCGGTGCTCGGCTCTAAGTCCTGGTGCCCTTTCTAGCTACCCTCATTAGGGCAGGGAGGGTCTAAACTGCAGAAGCTTCTGTTCCCATCTGTGCTGCCATTTCCTTTCTCATCTCTAGCTCTGCCGTGGTCTTCTGATGAACTCTGGTGGCTTTTTGGTGAGGGCTCTGAACAGGATCACATTGGTCAGTCATCCTAGGGTAGCTGTAGAGAGGGAGGAGACCCAACGAGTCATCCAGGCCAGCGTCGCCTGGACTCGCAGGACTGGAAACCAGGTTCTCCAACTCACAGCTAGGATTCTTTCTACCTTGACCCAATTGGATAATGACAGGCAGTGTTGTAGAATGGAAAGAGCTCTGAATTTGAGTTAGAGGAACTGAGTTCTGTACCACTTACTACCTAGGAAACCATGGACAAGGCACCTGTCTTCTCTAGGACTCAGTTTCTTCATCTATAAAATGAAAAAAATTGAACTAAATGATCTCTAAAGTGCCTCCCAGATCTAAAGTCTGTGATTTTATGAGAAAATGAATTATGATTTTTTGATTTAGTAGTGATCAGGAGTGAGTAGGAATTACTAGCTAGCAGAAAAGGAAGACTTCTCATACCCCTCTGGGTTGTCTTGGTGAGTGTGGTGGGGCCAAAGGTTGTCTACACATTCCTAGCTCTCATACCATCTCTTTCATTTCCGAAGTGAAAGCTACCATCAGCTCAAGGTTCCCCCATTCTCAAAGCCAGATTACCCTGCTGATTTCTGTTGTTCTTCAGTATCTTTGGAATTTATGGTAAACATCTGAATGTCCAAAATGGGATTAGGGCTCCCACTGTGCAGTCTTTAAGAGGTAGTGCCGAGTTGAGTGGGAATCTGTTTTGTGTGCTTGAAGACAGCAGCAGAAACATTTTCTAGAAACTGGTTAAGATTCACCAGGTTAGTATTTCCTAGGCTTGTCTCTTGCTTGTCACAAATTTTGTCAATTGAAAATGCAGCCTGTGCCCCCTAAGCATCAGGTTGACATGTGAACCAAGGAAAGGGGAGAAGAGAGCAACTTCAGAACCTGTCAGTAAGATCAATTCTGGGCTTTAAGTTTTAGACCCAGGAATAGATTTCTGGAGATTTGTAGCCAAATGGTATCCATAGGAACCCTGTAGTAATTGGAGAAGCATAAGAGAAGGAGCTGGTCTTATGAGTACTTTTGTCTCGTTAGGGTGAAGGAAACAGTGATGTGGAGGTGAGGATAGGAAGCCAGCTTGAATGGGGGTTGTCTAAATGAATGGAAGAAATGATATTCAGGATGTTAGCTAGGGCAGAGCAAGACATATTCAGGACATATCCAGGAAATCCAGCCTGCCTCCCACTATGGCCTCAGTCCTGGGCTCAGCCCAAAAAGCCAGTGAGCCCTAGAGGATGGGGTTAGGAAGGAAGAGGAATTAGCTTTCCCAGCTTATGTATGAAAAAAGTTTAGGCCCCAAGAAGCTTAGATATAGCCAGTCATCTAGCAGTAGGGTTAGAATTCAAACCTGGAATCTCTCTAGGCTACCAGAACTACTCAGTCCCTAGGACTGGGAGAACAGTCTATAGTGTTCTGCATGTAACAGGTATTGGGTTTAATTCCTAGATTCCTTAGAGATCATCTAATCCAATTCTCTAGTTTTACAGTTGAAGAAGCTAAGTCCCTGAGAGATGATTTGACCAAAGTCACAGTGGCAGATCTGAGATCTGAACTTTGGCCTCCTTACCCTTGTCCAGTGTTTTTTTCACTATACCATACTACCTCCCAGTATAATTGAATTTTCCAGTAAGAAACACCCTCCTGAGACAGAATGCAGGCTGTGGTGGCCAGTGTATAGTGGTTTGGGAACCGAGTGCCCCAGAGAGACACTGATCTGCTATAATAGTTGACAATGAAAAAAATGGAAAAACTGTCACTCACCCTCAGGTGTCCCTCAAAAGATTGTCTCTTTATCATAGTGCTGGTCATTTCCTCCTTGTCCGAGGAAACCCTCAGGAGGTCAGAATGGTTCTGGAACCACCTAGGAGCATCAGGCCTCTTCCAGAGCAGATTAAGAGAGGCCCAAACCTGATAGGTCCTCACAGCTTTAAAGGTAGGCCAAGATTTTTTTTAACCTTTTTTGCCCTTCCCCCCCCTTTTTTAAAGAGTAAGAATGATATATCACTGGAGGAGGGAGAAGAAGGAAGGAGAACTCATTTTTCTAAGTGCCTTGATGTCTCAAAAGGACATCAGGGAGGCCGGACTACACTACCTCCTCCTCCCAGGGACTTTTCCATGCCCACATATGTATCTAGGGTAGAAATAACTTTGCTTTTTGAAAGTCAGTAGCATCTGACTTCCAGTGCCCCAGAGTTGAGGCTGCTGAGCTGCTTTTTTAATTGGGTACCAGCTGGGTTCAGGAAGTAGAGTGGGTTCTCAGAGCTAGAAAGGACCTCAGAAATCATTCAGAGCTTGCCCTTTCATTGAAGACGTTGAAACCCAACGACACGCAGCTTGACAAGAAAAGCCAGGAGGGCTGGGATGCAGGCTCGCTCCTAGGCCAGTTCTCTCTCTACTCTGTCTTGGTACCAGTAGTGAGACAATATCACAAAATCACATACTATGGCTGGAAGAAGAGGGAGGCATCACACCCTGCAGCTATCATGAGATGCCACAGATGGGCAAGGCCCTGTTGATTTGGGTAAATGGCCGGGTTTTGACATTTGGTGGAAAAGGCTGTCCTGAAGGTCAGTGAAGACCCCAGGAGAGTTAGCATAGCAGGGGTGCTGAGAGGGAGAAGGGGATGTTCTCCATTGGCCACTCCCTATACAAGGTTTCCTCTTTGTTTTCTGTGCCTTATCTGAATATTTCAACTGACTCCAAGTTGTTTACATTTCTCGTCCTTCCCCAGGGAGGGGGCACCTTCAGTCCCAGGTGGATCATCTGCACCTCTTGAAATCTGTAGGTAACCAGCACCAAGGTCCTATGGGCCCTCTGTCTTCAGGGGGAATTGTCCATGCCATCTCTGACCATCTCCAGGGGACTCTTAAGCTGCAGGAGGCCACAAAGCTCTTGAATACTGAGGTTGAATCAGGTTTTCTGTGGGTCGTCACAAAGCTGCTAAAGGGAGATCCAAACCCTTTCCCTCCAGGAAGGTAAAATAAGAGGCAGGCCCCTTCCTTCATTTCTTCCCGGCTTTCCTCACCTTACCTGTGGTGCTGAAGAGGGTTGTCACATCACCTAGAGGTGTGGTCTGGAAGGTCATTTCTAGGAGAGGCATCCCTGTTGCTTGGCAGCTGGGTGCTCTCTGGGACAACCATCAGCTGAGAGACCCTTTCTCTAACCTTGTGATGCCATGATCTACAGGAAACAACCAACCAGGCAGATTCACAGAAACCAGCTCATAGGCCCAGGCTCTCCCTAGCTCCTGCTGTGTTGACCCTTTTAGTCCCAGCCCCCTGGGGTTCCTGGAAATGGGGCCAAATGTTCTAAGTGTGGAGCAGTATAAGGATAGAAAGCAGGGAGTGGTTCTCCAGAATAGCAGGAAGTAAACCCTGGGGGCATTCCCTTTTACCCCATCCTTGACTTTGGAAGCTCTGGCTTTCTTTCTATGGATGGGGGAAGAGAATTCAAGAGCCCTTCATCCACTCTACCCCCAGCCATGCCCATTGGTCTCTGATGGACTTATGCTCCAGATCTTCCAGTGGGTGGGTGCATTTGGTTGTGCATGCTGTTCTGGGGATAGGAAATCCCCCTGCTCCCTCTCTTGGAGATGGAGGAAGAGCAGAGAGTCTGCTGATCTTGGGACACTGACACACCTGGGTCAAGCACAAAGTATGACAGAAACTATTAAAATGCAGAGTTTTCTTTTGGACACTCAGAACTCAGGTATGAAAAGCTACATCTCAGCATGAAACCAGAGAAAAATGAGTAGTTTGCCAGCAGCATCAGCAGAACATCTGACAGCCCCTGCTCACTCCTGATTGACACAGAGATGGCGACTCCGACCCTCAGCTTTCTAGGCCTCCTCCTCATTAGAAAGAGTGTTTCCTCTTTGTGAGTAACTTCACCAAAATGGACATGATCAGAGTTGTGCACACTGGGTCTGCCTCTGCTTTGTATTTGTGAGTTGAGTTACCTGGCACTAGCATGAAGCCTTGAAGAAGGGGTGGGAGGAGGGAGGGGGGGACATTTTAACTAAGGAAAAAAAAAACTATTCAAATGTACTCAAGATATGATAAAGATGAAACTTTCTGTTGTATTTTGACAGAATTATTTTTATTAAAATATACATCCATGTGTAACTTTGTGTGTCAGCCTCTGCTTTTGTTGGTCTTTGTTGGGTCATTCATTTCTTAACAGAACCATTTGAACCCCAGGCCTTATTTCCCTTCTCCTCTGCCCCACTTTGCTGACCCTTTGCCTTCCTGGCTTCTCCTATTACAGAGAAATAACCTCTTCCTCCCCTCAATCCCAAAGATTTCTAGATTATTAGGTCCTTCTACTTCAAAGACACCACCAGTGATCTGCAGAGGGGGAAGATTCTGCAGGACAGCAGCAACACAAAGGAGCTGGGGCTATGAGAACTTGATTTGTTTGCACATGTCAAATGTTTCTTACACCATCACCTGCCAGGATTGCAATTTTAAAAGACAAAATGGCACTCGGACTATGGATCTTGAGCTATGTTATAACACAGCCATCGTCAAAACCATTGGGTGCTGGTTAAAAAAATAGAAGAGAAGTTCAATGGAACAGACTACATGAAGAATCGGGAATAACTCAACTTCCCAGCCAGTGTTTGAGAAACCTGAAAATATAAATTCTGTAGGAAAGAACTCCCTGTTTGACCAAAACTTCTAGGGAAATGAAAAACTGTCAGACAGATTTAGACCAACATATCATACCATTTTCCACAATAAATTCAAAATAGATAGATGACATGAATAGTAAAGGTCATACCATGAAAAAAATTATACATCTTTTATAGCTGTAGGTGGAGGGAAATCTTAACCAAACAAAGAGCAGAGGTAATTACAAAAATAATAAAACATGGCTTTGATTATGTGAAATTGAAAAGCTTTTGCATGAACGAAGTGCAAATATAGGATAGGAATGGAAGTGGCTTAGTGGTTAAAAAAAACCCTACAATTTTGTATCGAATATTTCTGAAGGATCTGCTAGCCAAAATATGTGAACAACTAAGAAATAGATCCCCCCCCCATCAGTAAATGGTCAAAGGATAGAAATAGACATTTCTCAAAAGAAATGCAAATTATTAGCCATATGAAAGAATGCTGTATTATTTCTAATAATAACAAATACAAATCAAAACAACACGGAGGCTTCACTTCACCCCTAGCAAATTGGCAAATGTGATGAAAGGTGAGAATAGTGCTGGAGCAACTGTATAAAGACAAGCAGACAAGACTACTAATGCATTGTTGGTGAAGCTGTATGACTGGTATGACATCACTATTTGAAGTACTGCCCATATGTGAATTTCTGCTTGTAACAAGGGACTAAAATGATGAACAAGCCCGTGTGTGGGATTGGACCTCATTTTCAAAGCAAAGGGAACACTAGTACTAAGTGTAGTATCTTGGTTAAAAAAAAATCGATTAAAATGTTCATACCTTTAGACACAGATTCCACTTCTAGCCATGCCCATATGTGCCAAAATATTCATAGCAGTACTTTTCGTGGTAGCAAATAATTGGCAACAATGTAGGTGCCCATCATTTGGGGAATGGTTAAATATGGTCAGTTGGAAATAATGAGGTATTACTAAGTAAGCCAAAGGAAACTAAATAAAGATTTCAGAGCATCATGTGAAGAAATGAACTGAAACAGTGAAGTATGCAGTACCAAGAAAATTTACATGACTACAACATAAATAGAACAGAAAAAAAACAAAACCCTGAATTAAATGTGATTATAATGACCAAGCTTGGCCTCAAAAAAGAAAAATAAAAAGAAGAGAAAATACACTTGGTAGAGCTGGAAAACAGTGTAGAATAGGGATCAGCAGACTTCTGTAAAGGGGCAGATAGTAAACATTTTAGGTTTTTTGAGCCAAGAAGAAAAATCAAAGATAGTTTGTAAGGACTTGTATAACAGGATAAAACAAATTTCTGCAAATTTTTTTTTACCAAATTTAAAATATAATTAATAATTGAGTACAGTTTTTTGTAGTATAGGTCTACAAATGAGAAGAATGAAATTGTTTCAGCATAACATTTCACAGTTAACTGGGGTTCAAAGTTAGTGTTCCCTATTATCAAATGTTCATCTGTTAATATTTAATCTAGAATGAGATTTTGCATATTTCATCTGAAAGTGTCTTTTCTTGCAGACAAGTACTGTCAAATACCAATATTAATCCACAAGCGTATGATTTTAATTGAGCACATTAACCAATTGGAAAGCATTTATAGAATTCTATTAATTTCTCTTGATAGTTGCCTTTTAGCATGTCATTATGTTGCAGATTAACCACTTCCAATTGAAGATTGGGTAGAAGTTCCTCAGTTGCAGCTAATGGATTTTGAAATAGAAATTTCTTTCTCATATCAAGGTCTGAAAAATGCTATTGGAATTGTAGTTTAAGCTCAGAAATATATGCGCTAAAAATTTTTATAGAAATGGAGATCTCTAATTTTTGGCATTACTAGAAGTGTTTAAAGCATCTTGACATTACTTGGGATTCAACATTAGTTGTCATTGAATTGACTTTACCACAGTAGAAGTTTCACATATAAGTGTTGGTTTGCTTTACAATTTTAGGTTGAATTCATTAAGAAACATCAACTGCAGCAAAAGCTAGTTTCCAAAGCCATCCCACTGTTCATTAATTTCTTGACCCTGAAATAAATTATAAATCTCTTCTTTGCCATTTTTGATACGATGGGTATCCACTGATGTTTGAAAAAAAAAAAAAAAGATGTTGAGTTATGGCAGTGCCCGTGGCACTGGAAACTCTGTCAAGCTCACTGATTTGCAGCAAGCAGCAGCGCAAAATTATGAGCGTGTGACATAGGTGTTTGTTGCATCTCCTCAGCTCTGCCATGGACAATACATAACTGAAGGAGCTTGGCTGTATCCAAATAAATGTTTATTTAAAAATACAGAACTATTCTTAGTTCGAGGGCTGTATAAAAACAGAAGATGTCCTAGATTTGGCCTGCAGGCTGTAGTTTGCCAGCCCCTGGTATAGAACTTTGCGTGTTCTGTCAGATTCAGCTGATGTGTGGTTAATTTTGCAAAACTACTTTCTTTTTTTTTATTCTTTGTTGCAAGAGATGGTTTGTTGTGTGAGGAAGGAAGGATATATTTGGAAATCAAAGTGATATAAAACAAAATTAAATTACTCTGTCTCCTAAAAATAGTAATAGTGTCTTGTAACCCTTTCTACTTGGATTTTGAGGTAATAGTTTTCTTGACAATATACTATCATTATTATAACTTTTGTGAGAAATCTTACTATACAGGTTTTGATCCCACCCATCTTCTTTAAGATAACTGCACCGTCTGCTACTTCTCACAGGTGACATCAGCACTGAAGCTGTCCACCATGAGACAATAGTTGCCTCCCATGGTTACTGAGTGTAGACCATCCTTAGGTTCCTCCTAAGAAACTGCCCAGCGAGAAGGTTCTAATGAAGATAACTACCTATGTATCTATTGCCAGTGATTGCATTGAATGTATCAAAGTTTGATGAAGCTGTCCAAAAAACCAGGAGTTCAAAAAGACTGTCCACAAGCTCTGTCACTAATACCCTGGCAAAGCCGTGCTCTTTATACCTTCAAAGCCAGATCCAAGGTGACACTCAGATAATAAGGCACATCAGAAGCGAGGATTTTTACCACTTACATAAGCCAGAAACAAGCCATCATCAAATTGCGCTACTGAAGAGCATTGCTGCCTGCCATCCATGGACATAATGGGAACTGACCAAACCCAAGGACTCATCACGAGCCCGAGAGTATCATCAGAGGCAGTCATGTTCCAAAGCTCCGTCATTTTGGGACAGGGCCAGCTGCCTATGTTTCAGTAAGCCCTATTTGAATAACTAAGTTATGCAGTGGGATCTCTCTCTCTCTCTCTCTCTCTCTCTTTTTTTTTTTTTTTTAGTGTGCTATTATTAATTCTTACACCATAACCATCCATATAGAGGCTATTTGTTTCTAAATGTTAAAGAAAGAGCAGGAGATACTGATCACCTCTCTAGGCTCAGAAATTAGCCCCTCAAACTCAGAACAGACCAAAAAGCATATTTGTCAGCTAAGATAAATAAGATTCCTCTTTCCATATTCCTTAAATATATAATCTAAAACCATTGTCTCCATTTCTTGCACATTCTTTCACTTCTTAACCCCTGCAATCTGGCCTCTGGCCCTACCCCTAAGATTACTTAGGAATTTGCCTTATCCAGTGGCATTTTCTGTCCTGATAGTCAAATTCTTTTTAGTATTTGACACTGTTGATTCTTTCCTACTGCCTACAAGCACATCCAATTTTTTCCCATCCTTAAAAAACCTTACCCTCTCCTTAAGCTACCATCCATTCTCTCTATTTTCATAGCCAGACTCCTAGACGAAGTCATCTATGCTCTTGCCTCTACTTCCTTTCATTTGCTTCTCGGCCCTATGGGTTCTGACTTTTGGCCTCATTACTTAACTGAGAGGACTGTCTTCCAAATTACCAATGACTTGCTAATTGCCCAATGGCTTTTTCTGTGACCTGTCTTCAGTATTTGACACTGTTGAACACCCTCTTTGTTGGGTTTTAATGAAACTGCTCTTTTTTAGTTCCACTACCTGTCTGACCTCTCTTTCTTCATTCTCTTGCTGCTTTATCATCCATCTCATGCTCTCCAACAAAATATAGGTTTTGATCCCAGGGTCACACAAGGTTTCATCCTGTGTCCCCTTCTACTCTCTCAATACCAGGAGGTCTTAACCTTTTTTGTGCCATGGACTCCCTTTAGCAGTCTGGTAAAACCAATAGATTCTTCCCAAAAATGTTTCTAAAATAAAATTAGAAGTTTAGAAAACCAATTACATTGAAATGTAGTTATCATCAAATATTTTGAAAAACAAGTTCACGCTAGGTTCAGAAGCCCTGCTCTAGAATGTCTCATTTGGTGACCTCATCAGCTCCCATTAGTTTAATTATCATCTCTGAGCAGATGGCTCCAGTCTATATAGTTAACATTAGTCTCTCTCCTGAGCTCCAGGATATTACAAACTGCATGTCCCATAGGTATCTCAAACTCAAAAT